TATGTGAACAAATATTCAGAAAAATTGAAGATACTTTGTATTCAATGGCTTTAAAAAAAAAATCAGTCACAAAATGGCTCTTGGTATTCTGAGGGGGATGGTGGGCCTGGTTCCGCTGGTGTTTGAGGACAGGTGGCTTTCCTTTTCTCATATGTCAGATGAGGAGGCTGAATTAGAAGATTGCTATGGTTTCCCTTCCTTTAAAAAAAAAAATTATATGATTCCACAACTCTTCTGCCTCAGGCAACCGTTTGGGATGACCAGATTGACAAATCTTTGGGACATACTTATTCTAGGAAACCATTCATTGTTCAGCCATTGTTTAGATTCAGATTTAACTGGGTGTTCTCTGTTGTATCTGGCAACCCTACAACGGTTAAATTTTGGTTGGGAGGAGAGGAACCCTGGCTCCCCTTGCCCGGGCAACAGGCAGGACCAGCAAAAAGTGCCTGTGAGATCTGGCTCCTTCCCACCGGCCCGGCCTGGAGACCCCGCTGTCCCTCGTGACAAACTAAACTCTCTCCAGATCTTTCTAGGCGGGAGAGCTCAAACTTATATTTAATTTGGCCACATTTCCAATCAGTATTTAAAGAAAAAAAAAACCCCTTCCGCTACAAGGAGATAATTTTTTTCTGTCTCCATGGAAATAAGTTCTAACACATAACCGAGGAGGCAGGTCCTCCTCAGCAGAAAATCTTGGACATCGTATGCGTTGGACTAGAAGTCGTTTTGTAAGTGTGACATGAACAGCACTTCAGGGAAAACAGGAGTCCTCTGAATTCGGAAGTAGAATTTGCCTTCTTTTCTTTTTCCCTTTTTTTTTTTTAAATGGAGGTACTGAGGATTGAACCCAGGACCCCCTGCATGCTAAGCATGTGCTCTACCACTGAGCTACACCACTTCTTCCAAGAATTTGCCTTCAGAAGAAAAGTGGGAAGAGATTTACATCTGTGTAGCATTTGTTAGCTGATAAAATTTTTTTCTTACCTTGTTTGAGTTAATTTTTTACAAATAACCCAATGAAAGGGGTATTGTATTAGTTCCATTTTATGGGTAAGGAATTTGGCTTAGAAATGTTACATTTCTTACCCACATCGCCCAGCAAGTCAATGGAAGATGGGGCTCGAACCCAGTTCTTTGACTGCAGTTACATTGCTCCTCCCTTCACTCTGCTGCCCTGCCCTGCAAGGACTTTTTTTCTAGAAAATCCCATATTTCAAGGGTCTCCATGGGGTCTAGAAAGAAAGTTCCAATGCTTTTTGCTGCTTTTTGCAGAATGGTAACATGCCAGTCTCTACTCAGGCCCCTTTTTGCTTCCTTACTCTTCTGGGCTTCTCCAGCAAGCCTTAGAGCTGGCCAGTCTGATTAGCATTATTTCAACAGATGAGGAAACTGTGGCTCAGATTGTTGAAATCAGAGCAGGCAAGCCACTGCTCACTTCCTCTCCCTGCAGTGATCAAACTGTGCTCAGCTCAGGAAATATTCAGAAAAGCTCGGATTCAGAGTAGGTGAGAAACAGCACACACATTCCCTAGAGATGGCTTTAAAAAAACAACACACTCTCCTCTTTCTCATTTCTTTTGCTGATATGGGAACACACCCTGTGTGTGTTTGATGACTGGTAATACCTTAATTGCCATTAGTCAAATCCACTTCTGCAGTCTCTGGATGGATAGGGTAGGCTGGGTTCCAGGCATTGTTTATGCCAGGAAGCTAGAAAATTGACCAGGACTCTTATACAAGCTTCACCATGTTGCTCTGAAAACAGATCTGCTTGTGTTAGGGCTTTGAGTACGAAATAGCCTTGTTTTCTTTTACAGGAATCGTCTAAAACGTTTTCCTGTTGTATTTGAAAGGATGCTACTGATTTTATAGATTAATTAATTAGTTACTTCAGCTCCTGGAAAATAAATCACATGCCTCACTCTCCCTGTGTGTAACATTTGTATTTACTCGTTTATATGTTTTATATATTTACATATTTTTGATCACTTGTGAGGAAGAGGAATAAAAGCTTACTGAAACCGCATTGGACAAATGACTTTCAGAAAATACACACTAGCTGAGATTATGGGTGACTTTTTAGTTTCTTCTTTTACTCTCATGAATATAAAACCCCTTAAAATTTTTTTTTAATTGTAACAGAAAGGAAACCTTCATTGCCCAAACCTACATCTAAAAACTGATCTTGCCAACTGCCTCGCAGTCTCATTTCTTTGTAGCTGTTGACAAACAACACATATTAACATAATTGAGATAATTAAGGGCAGTGCCAGGTACTGTTACCCGACAGGCTTCTGCGGCAGGGACTGCCAATTTCCGCTCCCTTCTAACAGCCTGGAGGCGTGGAGATTAACACCTACAAAGTGTGGTGGCTTGAATATTGATGAGGGGAGAGAGACCGGCTGCTTCCTTTGATTAAAACATTAGAAGAATAATTATTACAATAGTGAAATGGCTTCAGCCTTCTGTTAAGTTTTTTTTTTCTTTTACTTCTCCAGTTTACTCTGTAGCCCTGAAACATTTTTTTGGTTTTTTTTTCCCCCTCCATATGGCAGATCACAGTCATTGAAAATCTTATACTTCAAGTTGAGAACATTTTGTATGGATTGAGTTAGTGGTTCCCCAAGACAAGCTAATTTTCATTGTTGCTGAGAAGAGGAAAATATTACTTCTGGAGAGCCAGCAGGCATTTTATTAAACAGTTGTACCAGCTGGATACAAATTATTGCCTTTATTTGAAACTACCATTTGTAGATGTCGGATGCTTTCACTTCGGTGGGAATTAAGTGATGGGACCAGCTAGGGTTCTCGTGTTGGCGGACTGCTTAGCAGGCCGACCTAGACTCAAATCGTGACCAACGTTGAGGCTATTGGCTGCTGATTTTACAACAAGGCTATGATTGCTTTTAACTTAGGTACTGATTCCACTGTCACTCTTTTCTCTGTGTAAGGCTCTGGAAATGTTTAAGGTTTAGAGGAAAGAAGATACGCACACTGGGCAGAATCCCAATGCAGTATTAATGCACTCCTTTTTCAGTTGTGATTTCTACAAAATTATCGCATATATGCTATTATGGCAGCCTCTGGGTCCCCTCTCTGGTATGAGATAAGAGACAACCACCGCGTTTTTGCAAAGGACAAAGAAATGCTGGCATTACTTCTAAAGGTCTTGTGATCCAGAACGTGGTTCTGTTTGGGAAAAGAAAAAAAGGCATGCTCTGCCAAAAGTAGCACACGCCACGTTATCAGTGAATATCTCCATTCTGTATTTTTAGTGGGCAAATAAAATCTATCAGGACAGCATGATTTAGAAGGGTGGAGAGAGCCTCATAGTTTCCAGGGCAGGGAAAAGGCTACTCTGGTGCATTTTTGGTGGAACTGATGTGTTTTGGCAGTAACCTCCAGCTTCCTTTTTTTTTTTCCTCTATGCGTAGTCTTTTTTTTTTTTTGTAATGGAAAAATACAGCACAAGACCCTGAGAGTTGAGAAGTGACTGCTGAGAACACTGCCTGTTGCTTTTTTACTAGTATTTGTTTTCTGCTGCCTTCTTGCTGGATATCTGTTTATTTTAAAAAAAAATCAAGTGCTTTCCTGTCAAAAACTTAATTGAATTGGGCTTATTCAAATCCTGAGGGAAAAGTGCCTTTTGGTCATTTCATCCCTTCAAAATCTGCTACCTTTTGACCTAATGGGTTAAAACAAAAAAGCCTTCTGTGTAATTGTACGAGTTGGGAACCCAGATAATTTCCTCACCCAAATCATCCTCCTCCGTCCTCCCTCTGAGTCTCCCATTCCCTTGTAGTTTCTCGGGGGAGCTCGAAGTCAACCTTGGACAAACCAGCGCTTTTTTGAAGATGGTGAAAATGACACCGAGTTAGAATATCATTCTAGATTAAGTGGGTGCAGGAATAGGGAGGCTGTGCACCGTAGGTTAGCCACATAGAACCCTGTGTCTGTGGCTCTGAAGGGGTGTTCTCACTGTTTTGAGCAGAGTAAGAGGATGGAGGCGAGTTTGGTAGCATTACCTTAATTCTTTCTCTGTGAAACATGAGCCCCTGGTGAAAGTATGTGACCACCTCCAACTCCGTTTAATCTGGCAGGTTGGTTGGTCCTGTGGGAAGATTCCCCTCCACCTGCAGTTTCTCCTCCTCTCCAAACAGTGCTTCACCATAAAACCATGGGAGATGCTTCTTGCCTGTTCTGCATTCAAGAGAGGAGCTGAGATCAGGTCCATGTGGTGGGCCTTGTGTGAGGTCTTGGTACATGGAGATGCGGAATTGCAGCTCAGCATCCACGGATATACATCTCTGTGTGTGCGTGCCTTTGAAATTTAACCCCCCAAAATACCATAAAAATTAAGTACCTGCATTCATTTCCAGCGCTGCTATAACAAATTATCATATACTGGTGACTTGAAACAACAGAAACTTTCTCTCTCCCAGTTCTGAGGCTAGAAGTCCAAAAGCAAGATGTCAACAGAGCTTTACTCTCTCTGAACGCTCTAGGGGAGAGTGTGTTCCGTGCCTCTTCCAGCTTCTCATGACTGTTGGCCTTCCCTGGCTTGTAGCTGCATCTTTCTTATCTCTGCCTTCATCTTCCTCTGTGTGTCTCTATTAAGGATACTTGTCATTGGATTGAGGACCTACCTGAATAACCTACGCTGCTCTCTTCATCTCAAGATTCTAACTTCATTACATTTGCAAAGACCTTTTTTCCAAATAAAATCACTTTCACAAGTTCTGGGGATTAGGATGTGGGCATCTCTTTTAGGGGGCCACCATCTAGCCCTCTGCAGTCCCCAAAGCCGATTGTTTGCACATAGGAAAATGTTTAGAAATAGGTGCAATATTATAAATTGGTAGATTGATTCTCATAAATGTATTTTTCTTTTTATATGCCTTAATTTATTCCAAAAAGATTTTAAGGTAGATGTGTAAGATTATACATTGTTTAGGGAGAGAAATGACTTTTATTCTAAACTGATAATGGTCTTGCAGGTACACTCTGGTCTCTGGAAATTGCAAGCCTTTCTCAGGTGCCTCCAAGCACAAGGAGCCCTCATTCACAAAAGGAGAGAGAGGCTATTTCTCCAACTGTCTTGCCCAGATTCTGCCAAGGACCATGTCCTGCCCACTTTGCTGCATCTCCTGGTAAGTTTCTCCCACAAGCTCTTTCAAAGGCAATGATTCTCTATCTTCTTGCAATCGGAGACACTCATTTACTATTTGTTGACTCATCCTCCTTAAAGGAGGGTAAGGGGGAGAATGTCCTCAGTATCCCAGAATACTCCCTGGTGAGCTGGCCAAAGATGAAGACGCAGAGGACCTCAACTGACTAGCATGCATTTCTTTGGCATGCAGCCCACAGACTCATGTGAGACCTGGGGACGGGTCTGTAAAATGAAATACTCCCTTCTTCCACATGCTTCCTGCCCCTGCTCCCTGAGGCTCACACGCCGTTACTCTCCTGCACATCTTCTTCCACAAAGTGCAGCACTCCTGGTACGTTGAGTCAATACCTCTCTTAAGGCCCTGCCAGGTTATAAACTCTAGCTCCCCGTGAACATGTCCCAGCGTGCTGGTCCCAATTCTTGGATTTGGTGATAAACGGTGAGGAGAGGAGCCCTCGTTCAGACTTGAGCCTCAGCTGTGGACTCCAATCCTGGTTTTGTCAGAAGCCAGTATGGGGGGTTTCGGAGCACGTGTGCTGTTACTAAGACTGTGCATTTTGATTCTTACCTTGTCCTTGTTCCTTGAGCATCACTCATTCCAGAATCCTGGAGAGAGATGGGGTATTTGCAGTCAGCATTCAGACATTCTTGGATTTTCCAGCCATAATGCCTTCCAAGTATCTAAACCTCTTGCAGGGGACACTCAATTCTTTGATTAGCTCAGTGAAATATTATACTCTTTGTAATTGACATCTGGCATCATAAAAAGGAGTATTTTTTCAGAAACTGTGGCCTATAACCAAACCCCCTGCTGCTTCTTGGCTTGAGCCTATGCCCTCTACTCGGGAGGCTGTGAGGGAAGAGAGGCCCAGCCATCAGCTTGGAGTGTGACCAATCAGATCAGCAGTTCCTCTTGAGAAGGAGAAAAAGCAGAAGCAGGTAGGGCGTGGGAAGAGCAGAATACATCTCCCTCCCTGCTGCTTTCATTTACCTGGTTTGTGTCGGACTTGGGTCTAGGGTGTGATGGTCCCTGTTTCATCCTGTTATCCCTCTGCTGGGTCAAGGATTTGCTCCAAGTCCAAGGCCTGTCTTAGGTGGGCTGCCCCAGGGCCTTAACCTGTCTCATTCTGACATTCCTTCTCTGAAATGTCTTCTTCCCTATAGCTTGTGTTTATGCTTGGTGAAGGATTTCTTAGACTCTGATCCAAGAAGCAAGAGTCCTGAGAGCTGTTTTGACAGGAGGAATAAAAGGGGATCTGGCATCTAATATGTTTGGAAGACTCAGCATGCTATAATCCCCTCCTGGAGATTCATAACACACATTAAAAGCCTCCTTAACCTTGGTTAATGTGGAGTTTCCCAAACTTATTTGACCCCAGAACTCCACTTTCACATAACACCTATTAATAGGGAGAGACACATTCTGGAAAATACTGGCCTGGAAGAAGAGATGTTGGATTTTGAAACAAAAGGCCTGTGTCTGAATCTCCTGTTTGAGTTTCTAACTGTTGGCATCAGATAAGTCATTAGTGACCTCAATTGCCTTATATATAAAAATGAGTGTATGCAACACTGGCTTACCTGCTTAGCAGGGTGGTAAGAAACAAGGACGTCTCTGAAAGTGGTTCTAAAATTACGGTAGGCTGTTCGAACATAGTCCTGTGCATGTAGATCTATAACAGGGGAATGGCCCGCAGACTAAATCAGTCCCCCTGCCTGATTTTTGTAAATGAAGTTTTATTGGCACACAGCCACGTTCATTTGTTCACACATCATCTGTGGCTTGCACTCTGGTGGCAGAACCGAGTCGCTGAGACAGAGACCGTATGGCTCCCAAAGCCCAAAAGGTTTATTATTTGGCCCTATAGAGAAATTGTTCACTGACCCTCTGATCTCTAATAAAAGAAGACATTTATACTCAAGGACTTGTTACGTGTACAGGAGGAAAGATGGCAGATGTCGCTCTGGTGCACTTGGGAAACTGTGATGTGGTGATGGGCAAAGCCCCAGCCTGGATTCCTGTCACAGGGTCCCCAGGGGGCTCTGCCTCTCTCACCAGGTAGATCAGGAGGTAAGGTCTCCAGGCCGAGCAGGAAGGAGGCGAAACAACTGCACAGAGACTTTCTCTAGATGACAGCTTGGGTGGTGAACATGCCTGGACACTTGTAGCAGATTCTGGAAAGTTGCCCGGTTCACCCAAGTGGAAGGAGGAGCCAAAGAGCATGCAGCTCCCGGCCTGGGGAAGGGGTGGAGTGCCAGTGCGTCACAGATGCATTATTACGAGTTGCCGCTGAGGACATAGTATTCTTAGGAGTTTCTAAAATCCTTAGAAACCAGAGATAGGTATTCACTTGCAAACACATGTCTCAAAGGATCGCCAGGGCATTGAAGTGTCCTGGTGACACCTCTGAACGTTTCATCCTCAGGTCCCCCACTAGTGTGTAAGTGGGTGTTTAGGACCCCCGGTCCCCACTTTCAAGCACTCAGAGAGATCGGCATTCTGAAAATCCATCTTCATGATTTTTCGGAACTCGGCACCTTCAACTCAGCTGCTTTATGTTCCCAGACCAAGAATGCAAAGAGGGAAGCCCCAAAGCATTCCTGGAAAGAGGAATGTTCTCCACTTAGTAGGTGGGTGAGTAACTTGATAAAAGCCTTAACGCCAGAAGCCGGATGATGGTGATACGGCTCAGACCCCTGTTTCTGGTCTCCACGGTCACAAGCTGCTAACAGCATCTGGCGTCCGTAACTCTGGGTGGAGGAATGCTCGCAGGGCTATTTGTGGAGCCTGTCTCTGAGAGCACACTTAAGACACCTCATACATTTCCAGGCTCCCTCCCCACCTCGTGGGGGCCTAGACTGTGATGATGTTTATGACGGAGAGGGAGAAAATGTTCTGGAGAGTCACCATGACATTTCAGTGCTCTGTTAATCCTTTGAGAATGGCTCTTGCAAGTGTGCACTTACCTCTAGTCCCCGAGGATTTCAGAAACGCAAAGAAGCAGAGAGTGAAAATCACAACTCGGGGTCAGACTAGCTAATTTTTCTGCTGGTTCTACCCTGCAGAGTCGTCAACTTCCCTTAGCAATTTAGAGGCAAATGGACTTGACTTCTGCTTGAATGTCACATCCCTCCACCACCTGGGGACAGTTTTATTCCCTAGGACTCGCCTGCCTTCCACTGCACGCAGGCAGGAGCATCACCGTCCCACATTAGCCCCCCACCGTCCCTTCTCTTCATCTCGCCCCTCCAGCCCCATCTTCAGGGAGCCTTTGCTGACATCTCTGAGCCCATTTATCTGAACTCTCTCAGAACTTAAGTTCTGTACTGCAGTTTAACATTTAATTAGAGCCTGTTAAAGTCCACTTTATATATATGTATATAGTTTTACTCTTCTTTCCAGCAGGAAGGATCCAGCTCTTTTTTTTTTAAGGGGGTGGTAATTAGGTTTATTTATTTATTTTTAATGGAGATACTGGGGAGTGAACCCAGGACCTTGGGCATGCACTCTACCACTGAGCTATACCCTCCCTCCTAAACATCCACTTCTTGAAAGCAGAGGCCATCTGCTTCATTTGAACCTCCCCCGCCTGTCTAAAAGAATGGTTAGCCTAATAGTAGTTTGTCAGTTAAATGCTGTTGAAAATGAGAATTTTGAAGATAAGTTTTCAGTGTCTCTCGTGACTACGTTTAGAAAAAATGACAGGGTTCAGAGAGAGATGATGGAAATGCTGGCTTCAGAGCATTAGCTGTGTTCATTCCAGGACTCAGGTGCACCTGGAAGGCTGGGGGAGGAGGGGCACCCGGACCTGTTTGCATTTGATCCAAGGAGTTTCCTGGGAAGGGACTCAGCCTTGGGGAAGAGAGAGTAAAGGGTCATAACATTTGGACAAGGCCTGCAGGCCAGCAAGGGACAGAAGGGATTTATGAGTTTCCTGGGGCTGCCGTAACGAAGTACCACAAATTGAGTGGTGTAGGACAACAGAAATGTGTTCTGTCTCAGTTCTGGAGGCTAGAAGCTGGAATTAAGATGTTGGCCGGTCCAGGTCCTTTAGGGGAAGTCCTTCCTGACCTCTTCCCTCTGTGTGTCTGTCTTCAGATGGGGTCCTCTCTTTCATAAGGAGACCAGACCTACAGATTAAGGGCCCACCCTGACAATCTCATCTTAACTTGATTGCGTTTGTGAAGACCCTCTTTGCAAATAAATTCACCTTCACAGGTACTGGAGGTTAGGACTTCAGTACATCATTTTGGGGGATATAATTTGACTTTATAACAAGAGACATCTTTAATAGAGAGTGTACGTTATTCTTTAATACCATTGTTTTCTTTAAGGCCTCTGAGAAGTCAGTAAAAGTAGATCTTTATAAAACAATGAATTTATATTCTTTTGTTGTATATAGTCAGCCCTCTGTACCTGTGGGTTCCATGTCTGCAGATTCAACCAATGGCAGATTGAAAGTGTTTGGGGAGAAAAAGTTCCAAAAAGCAGAAATTGAATTTGCCATGTGCCGCCAACTATTTACATAGCAGTTACATTGTATTAAGTATTATAAGTTATCTAAAGATGATTTAAAGTACAGTGGAGGATGTTCATAGGTTATACGCAGATACTACACCATTTTATGTGAGGGACTTGAGCGTCTGTGGATCTGGGGACTGCGGGGTTCCTGGGACCAATCCCGTTGGACACCAGAGTCGAGCCGACTGTCTTGGGGCTGAACTTGACTTACTTGTGAGGCTATAGGCATCTTTCTCCCCTTGAGACTGGAACCTGGTGGAAACTGAGCAGAGGCAGCCCCACCAACACCAGCAGCGGGAAAGCAGCAGGGGCTTCAGAAGGAGAGAGTGGCCGAGAGGACTGTCCCTAAGCACGCGCTGGAGGAGTCAGACCTCACTGGGGACCATGAGCAACACTCTTCCCCGCTTTTCTGCCTGCCTCTGAGCCCTCCTCCCGCCGGCCTCTGTGGGCTGTCTTCT